AGATGGTGCCATTGCACTCCAGCCTGAGCAACAGAGCGAGATTCTGTCTCAACAAAACTACTGAGCAGAGAAATGTTTAAAAAGGGCAATTCAGGTGGAAAATATACAACAGGCAAAGTTAGGGAAACAGGAAAGAACCAGGAAATTTGGAACATTTTATGATAAAACTATAGCATTTTAGCCTATCTTCTTGACTTAATTTCTCAATTCCTTGTATAGGAGAAATTAGAGAACTTTGGAAAGTTTTTGATAAAACTTTGGACACGTTTATGATAAAACTAAAGCATTTTAGCCTATCTTCTTGTCTTAATTCTTCCCTATTCCTATTCATCAACCATGCCAGATTAACCTTGAATGTTGAGTTCATGTGTCACTTTCCTTCTCTGACTCCCTCTAGCTTGAAATTGAACACCCTAGCCTGATATTCAAGGTCTCTCCCATGGGCGGGTGCTGTTTTCTCACCTGACTCCCCATTGTTTCCCTGCATGCATCATGCAGCTGGCTCGCTGCTCCCTTGTCATGCCTCATGAACTCCATTCCACTCTTAAGTCTAGGCCGGCTGTTTCCCTAACATTGCAGCTGCTTCAGGATGCTCTCCCTGATTGCTCTAGCCCGCAGGACCCTCTGGCTTCAGGATGCTCTCCCTGATTGCTTTAGCCCGCAGGACCCTCTGGCTTTAGATACCAACACCACATCCTTGGCCTTTCTCAGAAACCACCTGCGGCTGCTGTTTGCCCAAGGGAAGCTCTTAGCCACATCTGGAATGAAAGCTCCCCGAAGAAGGGATTACCATCTCATTCCTCTCCACCACCTTCTCTCTGCCCTCCCCCCACAGCCGCCTTTGCTCACAGGCTGCTTTCTGATGGTCAGTGCTTGTCAGCTTGATGCCTACAGGTGCAGGAGCTGGAGCTGCAGACAGACCTCTCGGAGGGTGTTGGAGAAAAGCCATAGGAGACAAGGGAGGCAGACACAAGGCACCCCCAGCAGGGGATCTCCCTCAAGATAATACCATAAACTCACGCCAGCAGCATTTTAGAACAAAACAATTTTTGATAGAGAAAGAAGAGCTTTCTCAAAGCTGAGGATGTCTTATTCCACAATGAATGCAGGGAGCAGCATAGCATGGGAGAGAAAAATAATTCAGGCTCTGCCATGGGCCTTTGAACAGATAACCAGACTCCCTGAGGTTCTGAGCCTCAATTTTCCTTGTATACGAGGGATAATGCTCTTTTCACTGTAGAGCTAGGTAGCAAAAAGATACCGCATGTTAAGAACCAGTGTATCATTGATGCTCAATATATAACAGATGTTTTTAAAATTTGGAAATTTCCAGCCCAGGAGATCTTCTGGAAAAGAGATTCCCATTATTGTGGACAACTTGATTATAGTCCTTTATGGAGGTGGGGGGAGGGACTGACTACCCAGCTGAGTCTCTGCCTATGCTGGTACTGCAAGGACCAGGTTTGCTGATCTTTTGCTGCCATCTAATGGACATAAGCTTACAATGCAGTCTGGCCGGTTTGTCATTGAGTCCCAGTAACAGAAAACAGGAGAATGTCAGGGGCTTGAGGAGTTTGAAGAGTAAGTAAATCCAGAAGGATGGAAGGAAATGACTCCGACTCCCTGGGAGGGGGGCAACTTTGAGTCCCTGGGAAGTGTGAAACAATCTGGCCCAGGAGTCCTTTTTTTTTTTTGAGACAGAGTCTCACTCTCTCGCCCAGGCTGGAGTACAGTGGGGTGATCTCGGCTAATTTCAACCTCAGCCTCCTGGGTTCAAGCAATTCTCCTGCCTCAGCCTCCTGAGCAGCTGGGACTACAGGTGCATGCCACCACGCTTGGCTAATTTTTCTGTATTTTTAGTAGAGACAGGGTTTCACTGTGTTATCCAGGAAGGTATCGATCTCCTGAACTTGCGATCCACCCACCTCAGCCTCTCAAAGTGCTGGGATTACAGTTGTGAGTCACCATGCCTGGCCTGGCCCAGGAGTCTTTTAATACATGCACTTAACTAGTAAATGCAGAAATGAACCCAGTGGAAGGAGCCTTAGAGGTCTATCCCCATTTCCCCTCCCTCCACAGCTCAGTCACCAGTGATTACTGCCCACCAGGGTTCTGTGAGATACAGTCCTGCCTGTGTCTCCAGTCTCATAATGCTTCATTTTTGTGCTTAATTTCTGTGCTCCAGAACTGCTGACTGCCTTTCTATCCCATTAATGTAGCTGACTCCTCCCTTCTCAGGCCTTGCCCCGTGCTTTCTATCGGGGGGCCTGGCCATTCTCCTTTTACCCCTCACGTGTTTCTCATCCACTTATCCCTCAGTTCTCAGCCCAGGCATTACTTCCTCAGGTAAGCTTCTCCGTCTAGATCAGATTCCTTTCATATATACTCTCATAAAGCCAGATTCCTTTTTCAGAGTATGCAATTGTTTCATTAACATGTGTCTCTCTCACTGTGCTGTTTAGGCTCTAGGAGAGAGAAGACAGGGCGCCTTTCTGCTACTCTTGTATCCCCAGCACCCAGGACAGGGTCTGGTGCACAGTAAGAGCTCAGTAAATATCTGCTGAGTGAACAGAGGCATCTGCATGTTAGGAAAGAAAAGTTTGAAGAGTGTTAGGAGTGCTGAAGATCTTTCTGCCAATTCTAAGGCATGCTCAGACCTTTGGTGGAAATTCTCCCCAACAAAGACAGGCACGGAACCCGTGCCCACTCATGTCTAGATACCACTCCCATCCCACCCCTACCTCACGCTGTTTTCCAAGCACACCATGCTCCATTGAGAAGGAATAAGACAGCCAGCTTGGGAGGAATGCTAGTGGCTTTTAGTAAAGAGGGCCTCAGCTGTCAGAGGCAACAGGGCTATATCTTTCTCAGCCATGAGGCTTTTCGGTTTCATCTGCCAGCTACTTGGTGGTCTGTTTCTGCCGAAGCTGGTCAACCACAGAAACAAACACCCGCCACCACCACTGACAACAGGCATTCGAGGAGGCAGGGGGGAGCCCTCACTGGGGTGGACTCCCTTTGGGTCTGGCAGCAACCCTAGCTTCTTCACAGCACCAAGGGACCAAGCTTTTTTTTTTTTTTTTTTTTTTTTTTATTGTGTTTATTTGTTCTGGCTCTGAGTTCAAGTCCTGGATATCGTTATCAATTTGTTGTCTCATTGAATCTAAATCTCATTATGTGTCTTTTGTATCTGGGTGTTAAGATCTCTTATTGTTACATTAATCCTTTTACCCTTGCATCCTTGTAGTTTTGAAATCTATTTTATTAAGTGTGGGAATTGCAACTCCTGCTTTTTATTTATTTATTTTTGCTCTCCATTTGGTTGGTGAGTTTTTTTCCATCCCCTTGTTTTGAGTCTTTGTATATCTTTAGATATATCGTTAGGTTTTGTGGATAATGTATATTTTGTGTGTTTAAAATGGAGAGCTCTATTGAGTTTATTTGTTCTGGATGGGACCAAGCTTCTTAATTTCTTTTTTTTTGAGACAGAGTCTCGCTCTGTCACCCAGACTGGAGTGCAGTGGTACGATCTCAGCTCACTGCAACCTCTGCCTCCCAGGTTCAAGCAAGTCTTCTGTCTCAGCCTCCTGAGTAGCTGGGATTGTAGGCATGCACCACCATGCCTGGCTAATTTTTATATTTTTAGTAAAGATGGGGTTTCATCATGTTGGTCAGGCTGGTCTCAAACTCCTGACTTCGTGATCCACCCACCTTGGCCTCCCAAAGTGCTGGGATTACAGGCGTGAGCCACCGTGCCCGGTTCAAGCTTTTAAATATCTAGGGGCTAAAGTGCAAGTGAAAGAGTGACCCATGTTTGAGATGCAGAGTGCATGGCCCACATTCCTGGAGTGACACATTCTTCCAGTGGCCATGCACAGTTCCATGATTGTAAACAACTGGGAAAGCTTTGGAGGGAAGAGCCTTGGTTTAAGACTTCCAGAGTCATGTGCATGTGAGGGTGCAGGCCAAGGGACACCTGAGGTGACACTTCCAAAAGGAAGGGTTAACAATAGAGCTGGCAAAGAGGTTCCTCTCCTAGAAAAATATCATTCATTTCAGGCAAATGGTCAAATGCTCCCCAGGGTAACCCAAACAGAATTGGATAAGAGTTTGATTTTTCTGCTGGGCGCGGTGGCTCACGCCTATAATCCCAGCACTTTGGGAGGCTGAGGTGGGTGGATCACGAGGTCAAGAGATCGAGACCATCCTGGTCAACAAGATGAAACCCCGTCTCTACTAAAAATACAAAAAAATTAGCTGGGCATGGTGGTACGCGCCTGTAATCCCAGCTAGTCAGGAGGCCGAGGCAGGAGAATTGCTTGAACCCAGGAGGCGGAGGTTGCGGTGAACTGAGATTGTGCCATTGCACTCCAGCTTGGGTAACAAGAGAGAAACTCCGTCTCAAAAAAAAAAAAAAAAGAGTTTGATTTTTCAAAAAACTGCCTCTTTAATTTGGATTTCATTTGAAAAAGGAGTTAACTTTCTCCAAATTCTGAAAGGACAAAAAAAAATTATATAATTTTAGAATACGATATTTTAAAATTTTGTCAACCCACTAAGTTGGAGGGTGAGAGAGAAGAGGAGAGAAAAGTATATGGTTCTTCAAATCATTTCTTAAGAAACAAATACTTTTTCCTCCCAGCACTGAGTGACGAGGAGGAAGGAGTTTGCTTACAATTCAGCATACAGTGAGCCATTTCATTTCAAGGATCTTCTGGAAATGAGCGTCCAGAATAGCTTCATTATGTAACTTGAGATGCTGTGAGCTCCCAATAATTTCAATATCCCATGATCAGCACATGCCCAATTTATAGAGGAAAATGTAGGCTTTGTAATCAATTTTTACTTTTCCATGTACTTCTTTCCTCAGTGCAGAAATCAAGAGCCATTTACTATTTCAGTCTTGAAGATCCACACACACAAAGAAGGCGTTCAAACTCAGAAGCTGGGAAAAGCCGAAGAACTGCAGGAGGCGTGCATTATAAGAGGGGCGGTGGTGGAGGACGGCAATGAGGCCCGGGGGACATCAGGCAGTGGAGGAATAGGGGGAGAAAGCGGCTCTGGGCTCTGAGACAGCTCTAGGGGCCCTGCCTCTTGTACCGCCGGGTCTTTACCTCGATGGAGTCCCCACCAAGAGGTCGAGGTCTTTATGCCAGCCGCGTTGCCACCTTTCTTGGGGGTGGCTCTCTATTTCTCTTGCTTCTGTTTTCGGTTAGTTTCCAGACCAGGGTAAGTAGAGTGACCAGAGTCATCAGGAGTGTAACAAAGAAGAGAACTTTTACCAGGTGAGCAGGATTACACATGGCGGTGGTCAGTGAACCCATGTCCGAGAAGAACGCTGGAAGTTGTGGGGAGGACGTAAGCTTCCAGAAAGAGCCGAGATAGAGATGCGGTGCACGCCGACTGCCCACACCACCAAGGAAACACCAAGAGAATTGGCCTTGCTTTTGTTACATCCTAGGAGTGGGTGCGGCACAGCGACCAGACATCTACGGATTCTGGTCTTCACATGGGGCCGTTTTCCTTTGATGTAATGGAGAAGTCCTGGACATTTGCTCAGCAAGGCTGATACACAGATGACAGTTCCGGATGGGGGATGGGGCTTCTGAGGCTTTGTGATGTCACTGGAGGGTGCATTAGGGTCTGAGCCAAAGGTTCCAGTCCAGACACCTGTGTCCTCTGAGCCCCTTCTCCCCTCATGTATGGCCTCCAGACTGCAAAGGGAGTTCCCCAGTTTCCTGTGCTGATGCCCCTTCAGTTCTCTTTTATTCTTAAGTCCTTTTTAAAAACCTTTTTGATTTTAAAATCATTTTAGACCCACAGGAAGTTGCAAAGATAGTAAAAAGATGTCCTGTGTGCTCTTCACCTAATGTTGCCCTATAGTACACAATCAAAACTAGTGAACTGACATTGGTACAATGTGTAGTCCAGGCCATTTAATCACACCTGTAGATTCTTTTTTTTTTTTTTTTTTTTTTTTTGAGACGGAGTTTCGCTGTTGTTACCCAGACTGGAGTGCAATGGCACGATCTCGGCTCACAGCAACCTCCGCCTTCTGGGTTCAAGCAATTCTCCTGCCTCAGCCTCCCGAGTAGCTGGGACTACAGGCGCGCACCACCATGCCCAGCTAATTTTGTATTTTTAGTAGAGACGGGGTTTCACCTTGTTGACCAGGATGGTCTCGATCTCTTGACCTCGTGATCCACCTGCCTCGGCCTCCCAAAGTACTGGGATTATAGGCGTGAGCCACCGCGCCCGGCCATACCTGTGTATTCTTGCAGCCCCCTCTGCAATCAAGATTACAGAACTATTTTATCACCACAAAGATCTGCTGGTGTCCGTATTCTATCAGTTTGACACGAAAGTAGAAACCTTACCTTCTTTTAAATCCCTTACCATTCCACTTGTGTTGTAATTGTATTAAATATTTTTCATCTATATACACTGAGACCCACATTCAGGGAATGTTATCCTTTTTGCTTCAGCCACCAAACAATTTAGAAAACTGAAGAAGAGAAGGAAAGTCTATGTATTCACACAATTTAAAGTTATTCAGCCCCGGTCATTTCTACAGCTCCGTTTTCAAGTTCACAGATTCTTTCTTCAGTCCCCTCTGTTCTGCTGCTGAGCTCATCCAGTGAGTTTTTTTATTTTGGTGGTGATAGTTTTCAATTCTAAAATTTCCATTTAGCTTCTATTCAATAAGATTTTCTATTCCTTTGTGCCAAGTGTATTCATAATTGCTCGTTGAAACATTTTTGTGATTCTTTAAAATCTTTGTCAGATAATTCCAATATCTGTGTTATCTCAGTTTTGCCATCTGCTGATTTTTTTTTTCATTCAAGTTGAGATTTTCCTAGTTCTTGGTATGATGTGTGATTTTTTAATTACACACTGGACATGTTGGGTGTTATGAGACTCTGGGTCTTGCCATAATCTGTTTCAGCAAGCTTCCTCTGACACCATGCCTGTGAGGGGAGGGAGTATCACTTGGATAATGTTAGGCAAGGGTGAAGGTCCATGTTCTCTACTCAGCCTCCTTTGACTACCCAGAGTGGGGGGAGAGGTGCTTCTGGTGGTTTCCAGACTTCCCAGGTGGCCTCCTCTGACTTCGCCCTGGCTGGGTTGGAAGGGGACCTTACTACTGCTGCTGGATGGGGAGCTCCTTACCTCTGGATGGGGATGAAACTCCCAGCTCCTTACTCCATATACTCTGATAACACCCTGGTGAGGGGTGGAGTCTGGGGAGGGTACCTCCTTACAGCTAATTAAAAGTGAAAGTCTAGGGCCAGGCTCAGTGGCTCAAGCCTGTAATCCCAGCACTTTGGGAGGCCGAGGCGGGTGGATCACGAGGTCAAGAGATTGAGACCATCCTGGTCAACATGGTGAAACCCCATCTCTACTAAAAATACAAAAAATTGGCTTGGCATGGTGGCGCGTGCCTGTAATCCCAGCTACTCAGGAGGCTGAAGCAGGAGAATTGCCTGAACCCAGGAGGCGGAGGTTGCGGTGAGCCGAGATCGCGCCATTGCACTCCAGCCTGGGTAACAAGAGCGAAACTCTGTCTCAATAAAAAAGTGAAAGTCTAGGCTCCCCACTTGGCCTTTGCTGAGAGGGGTGGTGGGGCTGTGATTTTTCCCATGGTGTTTGGCTAGAGTAGGGCAGTTCTTGTCTAAAAGTTTTCTGCCTTGCTGGATTGCCTTCCTAGTGCTTTGGCTAACGAGAACAAGCAGGCTTTTCTTGGGACCTTATTTTGTGCATGCCTTTGCCGTTTCTGGGCTGCTTCTCTAGCACCCAGTGGGGATATGTGAGTCAAAAAGAAAATCCATGAACTCATTGCATTCAATTCTTGGGTTCCAAAATCAATGTTCCAAGGTTGCTAGTCAGTCTGCTTCTTTTTCCCCACTTTTCCGTCTTTGTTTGTTGGTTTTACATATAATACCCAGGGGTTTTAGCTGTGTTCAGTTTAGCAGGAGGAATGGGGGGAAGTGAATCTACTCCAGGTGCATCCACTCCATCCTTGGGTAGAACCTCTTGCTGCTACACCAAGGGTCAGGCAAATGATGGCAGTGTGGGAGTCCCAGGATTTGAAGTCCAAGGACTCAGATCAGAGTCTGGGCACTAGTACTTCCCATGCTACTGACCTTGGTTAGGTCATTTAGTGCCTCTGGCTGAGCCTCCGTTTACTCATCAGAAATGGAATGATAGTGATAATACCAAATGTATAAATTTTTATGAGAATTGGGGCTGGGTGCGGTGGCTCACGCCTGTAATCCTAGCACTTTGGGAGGCCGAGGTGGGTGGATCACCTGAGGTCAGGAGTTCAAGACCAGCCTAGCCATCATGGTGAAACCCCACCTTTAAAAAAAAAAAAATAGAGAGAGAATAAAATGGCTGATAAATGCATAATAACTTTCAAATCATAAAATCTCATACAAAGGGCCGGGCGTGGTGGCTCACGCTTATAATCCCAGCACTTTGGAAGGCCGAGGCAGGTGGATCACAAGGTCAAGAGATCGAAACCATCCTGGTCAGCATGGTGAAACCCCGTCTCTACTAAAAATACAAAAATTAGTTGGGCATGTTGGCGCGTGCCTGTAGTCCCAGCTACTTGGGAAGCTGAGGCAGGAGAATCGCTTGAACCCAGGAGGCGGAGGTTGCGGTGAGCCGAGATTGTGCCATTGCACTTCAGCCTGGGTAACAAGAGCGAAACTCCGTCTCAAAAAAAAAAAAAAAAAAAATCTCATGCAAGTGTCAGTTATTGTAAATATAATCTAGGATGGAGGGGAAGGGAAGTGAAGAGGGGGTATCTGGAAAAACTAAGGTAGTTTAAATCTTCCCAAGTCAGTTCCCTCACTGTTATAAACATGCAAATATCTATAAGTAAATTGTCCCCCACCCCCATTCCAAGATGTCTGTATCAGTTCCCTAGAGCATGAGAAGGGCAACAGATGTGATTACACTAAGGATCGTGAGGAGTTCATCCTAGATGATCCAAGTGGGGCCTAAATACAATCACATGTATCCTTCTAAGAGAAGGAGGAAGGAGTTTAGAGAGAGACAGGACACAAAGGAGAAGGAGATGGAGCAGAGAGAGAGATGTGGCCACAAGCCAAGGACTGACAACAGTCACCAAAAACTGGGAGGGGCAAGGAGTCCCCAGTCACCTCTGGATGGAGCCTGGTATTTACATCTTGATTTCAGACTTCTAGCTTCCAGAGCTGTGAGAGAATGAATTTCCGTTGTCTTGAGCCACCAAATTTGTGGTAATCTGTAATGGCAGCCCCAGGAAGTTAATACGAGACGCTTACAGAGGTCATCTATTTAGGTGAGGCCATGGTTTGACTGGTCACCCCAGACCCCCTTTAGACAAGGAGTTCGTCGTGCCTTCTGGCTGGCACAGAGGATTCTTTGATGGGGCTCTGGCCCTGGAAGTTGGACTGCTGACCTTGGGAAAAGACCCCACAACACATCAACCCCTGAACCAACTGTCCAAGATACCAAGGTTGACTTGTTCTTCATTTATGTCTAAAGAAGTGGGGTCTGGAAACTGAGTCGCACTGAAGGGCCAGACAGCTTGAGCTCCCTCTGGTATCTTCAGAACAAGCTCCATTGGTTCACCCACCACTCGACTAAGGAAAAGTTGGCCACTGGTGAGGGCTGGCTGGCACCTCTGGATGACCTAAAGGGTTTTATCTGGAAGCCTGAGTAGGAAAAAAGAAATAGAATATGCCACTGGGGGAACACTTTCTCTACATTGCTGGTGTTTTCTTTCTTGGGGCAGAAACCTGTTAAACAAACACTCCTGGCCTCTCTCAGCTTTGGCTGTCAATCTTGGTCCCAGGATGCAGAAAGCACCCCATGCACCTGCTGCTTTCTATACATTTCCTGGGGGCATGTCCTCAGGAGTAAGAGGCCTGTGTTTTCCACTGATAATTATGATGGGTGGTGAGCCAGTCCAGTACGGCTTTTTATCAGTTATAAAAGTGAGTTTTGCCATCTGCCTCATTTCTTTGTCTCCACTGGTCCAAAACTTGAGAAAGAGAGACCTGTTATATATTCAGGTGGAAAAAGAAGACATTATGTACCAAACACTTAAACCCCAAATACCTGGTCCTCCATGGACTCTGAACCAGGCCCTGAGTTTTCTCACCTCAAACATGGCAACAATTCTAAGAGCCTCCCAGCTTTCAGTGTCTCTCCTCCCTTGAGAGCACTTAGTTACATTTCTAATGTGGAAGAGAGGAGATTAAAGTTTTCTGAGCCTCCACTAGGATGCTTTCCTAGAAGCTTTGACATAGTGTTTTATTTATTTATTTATTCTTTCTTTTTTATGTTTTTAAAACAGAGTTTCACCGTGTTGGCCAGGCTGATCTTGAACTCCCGACCTCAGGTGATCCGCCTGCCTCGGCCTCCCAAAGTGCTGAGATTACAGGCGTGAGCCGGCCCATGGTGTTTTATTTATAACAACAACTCTGAGAGATAGTAACAGCAATAATTGATTGCATGATTTCTTTTCTTATGCTAGCTACTGGGCTGTTACCTGCATTAGGTTGCTTTGTCCTCTCAGGTAAGTGAGGCTCAATGAAACTGAGTAATTTGCTCAAGGTCAGGCAGAAATTAGTGCTAGAATCAAGCATTTAATTTAGGACTTAAAAAAAAAAATTCCCAACACAGTGCTTTTTTTATTCTTGTGCTTCTTCTGTTGTAGTGCTGTTCATATATTGCTGAGAAACTAGAGTCATTAGGTTTTTCTAATTTTTTTTTTTGAGACGGAGTTTCTCTCTTGCTGCTCAGGCTGCAGTGCACTGGTGCGATCTCAGCTCACTGCAACCTCCACCTCCCGGGTTCAAGTGATTCTCTTGCTTCAGCCTCCTGAGTAGCTGGGATTACGGGTACCTGCTACCATGCCCGGCTAATTTTTGTATTTTTAGTAGAGACGGGGTTCCTCCATGTTGGTCAGGCTGGTCTCGAATTCCTGAACTCAGGTGCTCCGCCCATCTCGGCCTCCCAAAGTGCTGGGATTATAGGCGTGAGCCACCGTGCCCCACCTTCTAATTTTTATTTAAAAAATTTTAAAGTAAAAATAATATTTCTAAAGGTGTACAACATAATGTTTTATTATATAGATACATAGTGAAATGAGTATCACCATCATGCACATTAACATATCCACTTCCTCACATAGTTATCTTTTCCCTTTTTTTTTTTTTAGTGGTGACAGCCTGTGAAATCTGCTCTCTTAGTAATTTTCCAGTGTATAGTACAGTATATCAACTATCACCAGTGTATCCTGTATCAATGCAAACTCATTCTTAGGGGCTTGTAGTGCCCTCTACTAATTACCTGCTCAACCACTTCAGCCAGTGGTTTGTGTTTTGCTGTTGTTGTTGTTATTCGTTTGTTTTTCTAGACATGGTCTCACTCTGTCGCCCAGGCGGAAGTGCAGTGGTGTGATCTTGGCTCACTGCAACCTCTGCCTCCCGAGTTCAAGCTATTCTCCTGCTTTAGCCTCCTGAGTAGCTGGGACTACAGGCATGCAACACCACACCCAGCATAATCTTTGTATTTTTGGCAGAGACAGAGTTTCACCATGTTGTGCAGACTGGTCTCGAACTCCTGACCTCAAGTGATCCACCCACCTCAGCTTCCCAAAGTGATGGGATTATAGGCACGAGTCACCGCGGTGGACCATAGTCTGCTTTCACTTGACTCCTACATACCTCTTTGCCCTGCCCTCTTTCCTTTTTCTATCTCTAAGAATTTTTCCCACCTTGGTCTCTTCCTCTTCCTGTTCTTAAAGACTTAAGAACTTAAAAACTTAAAGAACAGGAAGAGAGATGACCCAGGTGGGAGCAATGAAAAAGTCAATGAAGACTGAGAAGCTGCTATCTCCTGATCACCCTAAATCAATGTTCTCCCAGTCCACCAGGCTGCTCATTTGTTCTTTCATTAATTCATTCATGTTAGCTATCCCAAAACATGTATTGAATATTTTTTCATTTTTTCTTTTTTTTTTTTTGCCAAGGAGAAAGAGCCAGGAGCTCTGGAAGAAGCAATGATAAATCAGAGGTAAAATTCTGGGGAGCTTACATAATAGTATGTGGCTGGGTTGTCAGGTTGAGGCAGGGGTGATATCATGATCCTTCGCTAGTGTAGGAACACTTGAAGAATAAGGCAGACAAACAAATATATAGTGAATGCTACATTTTAAAAATTATTGCTGGCTGTATGTACATTATCTCACTTAATGTCCAGAGTGTCCCTCCTTCTGGCTGCGTTCTGGGTCCCAACCCTTTGGCCTAAGGGGTTCTTGCTCTCTTTCCTATGTTGGTGATGTTTTTTTGTTTTTTTAGAGGAAGTCTCGCTCTGTTGCCCAAGCTGGAGTGCAGTGGCACGATCTCAGCTCACTGCAACCTCCGCCTCCCGGGTTCAAGCGAATCTCCTGCTTCAGCCTCCTGAGTAGCTGGGATTACAGGTGCATGCCAGGATGCCTGGCTAAGTTTTGTATTTTTAGTAGAGAGGGTTTTACTCTGTTGGCCAGACTGGTCTCGAACTCCTGACCTTGTGATCCACCTGCCTCATCTTTCCAAAGTGCTGGGATTACTGGCGTGAGCCACTGTGCCGGGCTGTAACATCGTTCTTTCCAATGGCTCTTTCTTCTCAGCATAGAAATGTTAATATCCGTATTGTAATAATATTTTTGAGCACTTACTGTATGCCAGGCAGAGTTATCATATGTGGTTGGTTGAATAATAACCCTGCAAAGATGTCCACATCCTAGTCCCCAGAACCTGTGAATATGTTGTTACCTCACATGATAAAAGGGACTCTGCTGATACGATTAAGGATCCTGAAATGCAATTGTCCTGGATTATTTGGGTAGACCCACTAAAATCACAAGGGTTCTTAAAAGAATCAGACAGGCTGGGCGCGGTGGCTCACCCCTGTAATCCCAGCACTTTGGGAGGCCAAGGGAGGTGGATCATGAGGTCACGAGATCGAGACTATCCTGGTCAACAAGGTGAAACCCCATCTCTACTGAAAATACAGAAATTAGCGTGCCTGTAGTCCCAGCTACTCGGGAGGCTGAGGCAGGAGAATTGCCTGAACCCAGGAGGCAGAGGTTGCGGTGAGCCGAGATTGCGCCATTGCACTCCAGCCTGGGTGACAAGAGCGAAACTCTGTCTTAAAAAAAAAAAAAAAAGAAGAAGATGGTAAACTGCTGGCTTTGAAGACCGAGGAAGAGACGAAAGTCAAGAATTGTAAGAAGACTCTAGAAGCTAGAAAAGGAAAGGAAATAGATTCTCCCCTAGAGTCTCCCAAAGCAATGCAGCCCTGCCAACCCATTTTAGAACCCCTGATCTTTAGAACTATAAGGTAGTAAATCTGTATTATTTTAAGTTAGTAATTTCATAGTAATTCGTTACACCAGCAATAGGAAACTAATATGGCATGCTGTCTCTATCATTTAAAACCAAACCAAAACACCAAACAAAGAAACAACTCCCTTCCTCCTGTGTTCTCTCTTACTTTCTATCAAAGCCAAGTTTCTTAAAAAGTGCTGCCTCCATCCCGTCCCTCCCATTTTGATTTTTCTTCCATCCGTAATACTCAGTTTTTCCCAGGGCCAACAACAAACTTCAACTCATATATAAGAGCACTTTCCAATTCTACCTTGACATAGCAGAACTGACCAATTCCTCATTCTCTAAACCTCTTTCCCCGCTTCGCTTCAGTGGTGGCATGCCTGCACAATTTTTCTCCGACTTCAGCTCCTCCTCCTCTGCCTCCTGCCTCCCGTTGTCCTTCTGTGTGTTGGCGTTTCCCTAGTGTCCACCCTCAGTCTTTTCATCTTTTGAGACCCTCTCTGGGTTATCTCATCATTCTCATGCTTTCAGTGACAGCCTATGTTCCAATGGCTCTCTACTATGTATCTTTACTCAGGTCTCACTCCTAACTCTAGACTCGTAAAGTGAACTTCCCATTGTCTTGCCTAGTTGAATCTTCCCACAAGCATCTGTAACCCATTACGCCCAAACGCACCCTAATTATCTTCTCATTCAAATCTTCTCCTCCTCCATACTCTATCTCTAAAACAAAGAACGTGGGATTCGTGACTGCTCTTTTTCCTGACTCTGCACTGATCCAGTTTCAACGTCCTGTTGGTTCCACTTCTGAAACAGCCTCCATGTCCACTTCATCCTTATCCTCATTGCTTCACCTTAGTTCAAGCTTTCACTTCCTGGTCCTCATCAGTTCTTGCCTGGGTCACTGTAATAGTTTATCAGTGGTCTTCTTCCTAATGGTAGTTTTATTCCCTTACCATCTATACTATTCAATGCTAACGGAGTAGTCCACATAAATAAGTCAGGCTTCTCAAAATTCATCATTTGGGTCTGTGTTGCTGTTAAGATAAGTCCCGGAGACGGTTTCATCACTTATTTTGCCCCTGGTGGCCTGAAGGGCCTCAGCGGGATATACATTAAAACCTTCTCAGCCCTTCGAGGTCAGTTAATATTAAGTGTATTTTGTTGAACAAATAAATGGAGGAATGTTGCATCCAAACGCTGTTGTGTAGTAGTAGAAGAAGCTATAATTTCCCTTTCATTATAGTCAAATGGCAGGAAGGGAGCTCCTACTGGGTGAGTCAGGCTTTGAATTAACCAAGAAAGGCCTTGTGGGCCGGGCACTGTGGCTCAAGCCTGTAATCCCAGCACTTTGGGAGGCCGAGGCGGGTGGATCACGAGGTCAACAGATGGAGACCATCCTTGTCAACATGGTGAAACCCCGTCTCTACTAAAAATACACAAAATTAGCTGGGCATGGTGGTGCATGCCTGTAATCCCAGCTACTCAGGAGGCTGAGGCAGGAGAATTGCCTGAACCCGGGAGGCGGAGGTTGCGGTGAGCCGAGATCGCGCCATTGCACTCCAGCCTGGGTGACAAGAGCGAAACTCCGTCTCAAAAAAAAAAAAAGAAAAGCCTTGTGAGAATGGAGGAAAAAGTTCAGGATAATACCCCCTCCTTACTGTCTGAAGTTTTCTCTTTGGCAAGCCTTTACAAGAGAGGTGGACCAAGTACATCTGATACACAGAAGTGCAGACCCAAATACAGCCCTTTAGATGTTTCAAATATTTTTCTGCAAACATAATCTGATACATGCCGCAGGCATAAAGGGCAGTAGCTCTCGAGGAGGAGTGGGCAGCAGGGGTGGTGGTGTATCAATAGGAGTCCAGGCTTTTCCAAAACACACATGAGCTCCCTCTTCCTCAAGACCATACAAAACAATCTGTTCACATATTTAGTCAACTAATGTCATGTGCCTTTTGTGCACAAGGCACTTGGGTGCAAACATGAACAAAACAGGCTCACACTGTCTCAGCCCTCACGGGGCTTAGTCTAGTCGGGGAAGACAGACTCATTTGAAACAGTTGGGAAACGCTGTGATGAGGGAGCACAGGGAGCTTTGGAAGCAGCAGATTAGTCTCCTGCCTTAGACTTGGCAGTGTCAGGACTCCTTCAGGATAGTGGTGCTGTCTACACTGAGACCTAAAAAATGAGGAGGAGTTAGCCACGGAAAGATGGGGAAAAGGGAGAAGGGGTTTACCTGGGTGCAGTGGCTTGCTCCTATAATCCTAGCACTTGCCCGGGCACGGTGGCTCACGCCTGTAATCCCAGCACTTTGAGAGGCCGAGGCGGGTGGATCATGAGGTCAAGAGATCGAGACCATCCTGGTCAACATGGTGAAACCCCGTCTCTACTAAAAACACAAAAAATTAGCTGGGCATGGTGGTGCGTGCCTGTGATCCCAGCTACTCAGGAGGCTGAGGCAGGAGAATTGCCTGAACCCAGGAGGCGGAGGTTGCGGTGAGCCGAGATCGCGCCATTGCACTCCAGCCTGGGTAACAAGAGTGAAACTCCGTCTCAAAAAAAACAAAAAAAATTAGCCGGACATGGTGGTGGACCCCTGTAATCCCAGCTACTTGGGAGGCTGAGACAGGAGAATCACTTGAACCTGGGAGGTAGAGGTTGCAGTAAACTGAGATGATGCCACTGCACTCCAGCCTGGGTGATAGAGCGAGACTCTGTTTCAAAACAGAAAAAGAAAGAAAAAAGAGAGAGAGAAGGGATGAGGTTAGTGACAGGTGTGCTGGGTAAAGGAAACAGCATTTGTGCAGCAGAATGTCATGTATCTGGAACCCTGGAACTGTCGATTATGACCTCAAACTGAGGACACTCAGGAGAATTCACATAACTATGAAGCAGGACTAATCACCATTCCCAAGGCAGGACTCCCACCACAGGCAGGACAGCAGAGACTAACATTATGCCAATTGCCAGAAATAGGAGTCCACACATTTCCGCCCACTGCATCCTGGCCTGAAGTTCTACCAGTGTCTGCTGGAGACAACTCACATTCGCATGCAACAAATTTTGTGAGGTGGGATTATTACTTACAGGCAGGCAACATGGGACAAAATAAGCCTAGGAACCACTGTGAGGTGGTCCTCAAGGCTTAAGAAAGCTTCCTGGGCAGGATTGAGCTTGCCTGTACATGCCCCATGTGCACCACCAGTAAGGGGCTCCAAAAGGTAGCCCACCCTGAGTTATATACGTCAGGGGTCATGTGACTCACTGGGAATAGCTGGAAAGGGCATCCTGCTTCCAGGGTAGAGACTTACAAAGCCTGGGCTGTCCCTGGCAGCTTCTCTCTAACTCCAGATGTTGCATTCCCTAGGAGGGACAGGAATGGGGAGGTCCAGTCTATTTCAAGCAGTTCCTTCCTTTCTCAGGATGTTGTAGTCCCAGCACATTTTTGAGTTTTTCTTGAGAATTACAAGCAAGAAAGAGAGGACAACTGGGTTTGTCCAAAGCCACTTGGAATATTGTGCTGTGCTAACATCCTAGAGATGCCATTAAAAGTGGAAAGTTAGCTCTGCTATCCTGAACCACACCACAATATCACATCCTTAACCTCCCCTAGATTTAAAACCATCCCCTAGAAGACAATATGGAGGTAAAAAGAAAAAGGGCATTGATGGAGTCATGTGTACCCAGCCACGGAAATGAATGCTGTGCCTTTTGTTCTCACCCTCTCCAAGCGAAGGTCTCCAAGAGAATCACTCATAGAAACTGGCGAGCTGGCAATTAGGAGATCTCAATCCCTGGTTGGGTGTCTGCTGGTGAGCTTGTGGATCTGTACCCTGTGATCACTGGAGTAGAGAGAGAAGGATGACAGGGAAAGACCTATCACCTTTTTTTTTTTTTAGACGAAGTCTTGCTCTGTCACTCAGGCTGGAGTGTAGTGATGTGATCTCAGCTCACTGCAACCTCTGCTTTCTGGGTTCAAGCAATCTGTCTGCCTCAGCCTAAGTAGCTGGGATTACAGGTGTCCACCACCATGCCCAGCTAACAAAAAAAAAAATTTCTAGTAGAGACAGGGTTTCACTATGTTGGTCAGGAGGGTCTCAAACTCCTGACTTCAGGTGATCCAACCACCTCGGCCTACCAAAGTGCTGGGATTACAGAGCTGGCCAGGAGCTATCACTCTTCCCATCTGGTTTGGCGAGGATGTGTGAGTCAAATGAACAGTGTGGAAATCGGTGTGAGATTACCATGAGTTAAACGAATAGTGTGAAACTCAACAGGGTGTGGGCCATCTTGCTGGTTCTCCTTCCAAGACAACTGGCCGCCAAGCCAGGAAACCTAGTTATGCCACCAGAGCAGGGCTGAGGGGTTGTGGGAAACAGTTATGAGGCAGGAGAATAGGGTCTGGAGGCAAGGAACCTACGGCAGTTTCATGCTAACTTCCTAGACCTAAATTGAAAGGAAGCCCTAACTTTCCATGCCGAAGTATAAAAAGGACCAGAAGCTACTCCCTTTAAAAACTCCCACCTTTTCTGCCTGGCAGATGGGAAATTGAAAGTGCTACCTCTGACTGGTTGCTTTTTGCAACCAATCAGATGTTTGCATAAGAGTGTAATTTTGTAACTTCACTTCAGCCTCTGATTGGTTGTTTTCCACAACCAATGATACTGATTGCGGGCCACCACTTCATTTACATTGGGTGAACACTAAGTGGCCAATGAGAAACCTCTAGGGGGTATTTGGATGTGAGAAAATTCTGTATCAAGGCTCTTGAGCTGCTGCTCAGGCTGCTCCCACACTGTGGAGTGTACTTTCACTTTCAATAAATCTCTGCATTTGTTGCTTCCTTCTTTCTTTGCTTTGCTGTGCATTTTGTCCAATCCTTTGTTCAAAACTCCAAGAATCTGGACAACTTGCAGTCAAGACCAGTAATAGTCAAGCTGCAGCAGATTTCCCATCAAGGAATTGTGAATTGGGAAAAGCTCCCAGGAAGCTAACCCATGTGTCCATTAAGATCTAGCATTTCGGTACCTTCCAGATGGAGGGCAAGACCAATCAGCCTTCAACTCAGAGGCAGAGAGAACCAACAGACAATTGCAATTACATGCCCAGTTAAGCAAAATGACTTTTGGCCCTCATTTCCCAGCCCTCCCTGATTTTTCCTCTGGGTCCCAACACAGTAACTATTTTAGGGAAAGGCAAACTTCTGTTAAAGACAGAATACACCACTTCCCCAAACCAAGTTCCACTGCTGAAGTCTGGCCGGTGCTGAGGGGAAGAAAAGGGTGCAAAACTTGAAATAAGTTTTAAGATTTTAAGCGGACTCCATTAGACTGGACTTGTAATAATTTACTAAACAGAAAACTACAGAATCTGTCAGGGCTGGAACGGAGGAACTGAGAGTATGGTTGAAGGCACTGGTTAAAATCTCATTGAGAATATATGTTCAGCGGAGTTCAGAATGTTTATTAAATTGTTTCTATATGCAAAAAGGCTTTGAAATAAGAGGCAGCCTGGTGTGTAAAACTGATAGTTTCTGAAGATGACTCGAACACAGAGGGAGAGAAGGAAGTCTGGAAGACTAGGAAGAAACCAGGACACGACAGCCTTGTTAAGGTGTTTGGCTTTATTCTGAGAGCAAAGATAAGCCATGAAATATTTTAATGATCAAATTTGCATCTTAAGATGATCCCACGGGGATCGGGTAGGGACTAGAAATAGGGAAATCATTTGAGCAAGAGAAAATGGTATGGCAGTGTGGATGGAAAGAAGTGGGAAGATATGTTGGTGGAGAATTGTCAGGAATTGCTTATTGCCAAGACGTGGGCTCGAGGGAAAGGATAGAAGCTTCTCTTTCTCTACCTCTCCTTCCAGCTGACCCTAGAGATCTGTCCGGTTTCCAGTCCCTGCTCACACTTCATTCAATGCTGGAGGAATGCCAGCTGCTGTCCCATGAGGACCTGGAGGTCTGTGGGCACCGACACTACCATTTCCACAGTCTTCCCAGCAGCGAGATGAGGCAGGCTGTGCCTCGAGTGTTATCTTGTTTGGAGACCGAGGTCCCCAGTTTAAGTGACTTGCTTAAGACCTCTGGGTTGTTAGAGAGTCCAAATTTCACTCTCAGCTTTAGGGCTCTTTTTTTTTTTAATTTTAATTTTAATTTTTTTTTTAAAGACAGGGTTTCATCATGTTCGTCAGGCTGGTCTTGAACTGCGGACCTCAGGTGATCCGCCCACCTTGGCCTCCAAAGTGCTTGGATTACAGGCGTGAGCCACCACACCTGGCCGCTTTAGAGCTCTTTTAATAACACTTCACTGCTACATCCCGAAGTTAAGCAAAAGAAGCAAAAATAAAGATAAAATGGAAAGTCCTGCTCCAACATAGCCTGGACCATCGCAAAATAGAGACCCGCGCCCTGCTGTCTCGATGTGCGCATGCGTCCTAGGCAGAGTCCGCCGGTAGAGGTCAGGCGGTTCGCCAATGTTCCAATTTGGAGGCAAGCCCTGGCCAAGGAGGGGAAGTGCGCATGTGCTTTAAGTCATTTCCGGGCAGAGGAAATTGGCTAATACCATTAGCTAGTGGGGATCGGAAAAAGGATGGGTCACTCGGCGTGAGCGCGGGGCACGATGGGTGTTGTAGTTTTTGCCGGGGAGGCAGCGGTTTGTTCTTTCAAGAGGAAATCTTTGCGACCAGTAGGTCCGAGCTGGCTCAAAGAAGTTGCTTGCACAGGGGAATTGAGGGTGGACTAGCTGCGTGGGTGTGGCTTAATTCTGCTGTTTCTTTTTTGGATGAG